ATTTTCAAAGAGAAAATTACATAAAATAATAAAAATATAGAAACCGTATAAAAATTAATATTTCGAAAACATTAAAATTAAAGTTTAAAAAGTATAAAATAAAATAGATAAAATTTATAGAATGAATAAAATTTAAAAAAAAAAAAGACCTATTTAATGTTTTGGAAAAGAATTAAGTTTTTTTTTTAATTAACCAGGATATTCAACCCGTTATGCGAACCGACTTATCTCACGGCGACCACCTGCTTTGCAGATAGCCCGAAGTCACCGCATTTGAACCTCCGTGGCCACAAGAGAATTTTATTTCTCCTTGGATTTGAAATGAGACATCCTGATACTTTTGACCTTTGGAGCCAAACTCAAACCAATCAAGCACCACCCTTGTAGTTGAATCAAGTTTTTTTAGGTTATACTGGTAAAATATACGTATCTTTCATTGGGTAGGGTCCAACAAACTTGTTCCATTTTATTTATGTCTGTTGCACATAAAAATCCTACCAAACATGGAACATGAATCTAGTATATCCTGTTTACCAAACGCACCGTAATCGAAGGTGCTTGAGTAGGTTTATGCGAACGTCCGCGAAGGTCATTTTTTTTTTTATTAACCTGGATATCCAACCCGCTATGTGAACCGACTAATCCCAGGACGACCACCTGCTTTAAAGATAGCTCGGAGTCACTGCATTTGAACCTCTATGGTCACAAGGGAATTTTTATTCCTCCTTGGATTTAAACCTGTGATTGAGCCAAGCTCAAACCAATCAGACACCACCTTTGTGGCTAAGGGGGTATTTTTGTTTATGCCAAAAGTAACTTCGATTTTCTAACTTTGTAACGTTTAATTAATTTTAATTGATTTCTTTAAAATAAAAGGAATAAGTAGCAATTGAGAAACAAGATAGAGAAAATTCGTAATTTTAGCAAATCATATGAAAAAAAAAACATAATTTACTCTTAGAAGTCAGGTGGATGAATGAAAATGACAGGGATTGAAAATGGGAATGAATTTTTATTTCCCTTAGTTTTAATTTTATTTATTAAATTTAATTAATTTAAAAAATATTAACAAATGGGATGTCATGCTAAAAAAAATTGTACTAATGGGTTGTTTATTTACCTTTTAATAGTTTCGTTAAGAGACGGCCTCTTAACCGTTAAGAGGTGAATCTAAAAAAATGTCTCTTAATGATTCTAAAACTCTTTGAATGATTTTGTATCTTGTGTTTCTCTTAACCATTCAATGCTTTAATTTCATTGTAAACAATTAGTAAACGATTTATATTTCATTTTGCACTATATCACGAGAGCCTCTTAATTATTCTGATCACTTAATCATTTTGTGTTAAACCATTCAACAACTCTCAAACAACCCCTTATACATGTCCATTAATTTTAATAATCTAGTCTGGTTTTATTCATTTTTTTAGAAGTGTTGTCTAAGCCTGTCAGGTCTAGTAGGTCGTCCTGTTCATGAATAGCTCTACTTCGAGCCACAGAAAGTGATTTTGGTTTGTATTCATTCGCTTCGTATTGTTTCTCTTTAGTGAATAAAGATAACCCATCTGTATCGAACGTACACTGTTTCCCGATAATGTTAACAATAGTTTTTTATGATATTTTATCCAGTTCATAGGGCCGACGAATGAAACTAGGGATAGACCTATGAAGTCCCGAGCGGGGTCATGTGTACCAACTCAACTTATTTTCGCAAGTGAAAATTTTGATGGGTAAGAAAGGCGCCTGCTAAAATTTGACGGATACTCCGGGATATTAGAAAAAATTCAGTGAACATCAACTACAAAACACATTCGACTACTTTGATGGCATATAATCCATCTTATGGGTTGTTTGGCAGTTGCTGAATGGTTTGGTACAAAATGAGTAAGTGGTCAGAATGATTAATGGGCTTTCATGATATAGTAGAAAATGAAATATAACTGTTTGGTAATTATTTACAACGAAATTAAAACGTTAAATGGTTAAGAGAGGCCCATGATACAAAATTATTTCGAGGGTTTTAGAACCATTAAGAGGCAGATTTCTTTTGTCAAACAATATTCACCTCTTAAAAATTCAGAGATTGCCTCTTAATGGAACTATCAAAAGGTAAACAAACAACTCTTTAAAGGTGCAACCATGTGCAGGGACGGACTCATAAATGTTTTCAAACGGTGACACCATTTGACTATAAAAAAAATATAGAATTTTTTTTATTTGACTATAAAAAACAATATATGAATTTTTTTTTCAAACGGTAGCACCATTTGACTAAAAAATGACACTAACAGGATTCGAACTTGGATCATTAGTGGAATTAAAGTCTTGCAAACCAACTATATCAAATAAAACTTGTTCTCATTGTAATTTCAAAATACATACGATGACACACAATAAATTAATACGGTTGCAACTTTCACGAATCTAAATTTTTTTACCCTTCAATGGAGTAATAATACAGTGGCAGGTGCCACGGTATGCTCCAAACCAAGTCCATCCCTAACCGCTTGGCTAAAATTCCTGGCTCCGCTGCTGAACGGAACCGCAAGAACTACAAGGAAAATGAGGAGCTTTCAAAATAATTTCCAGATGTTTTTTGTATACATGTCATGCAAGTAAAACACACATATTATCGATATCATTATCAGAATGTCACGTAAACAGATAAAATAAAGGAAATAATTGGTTTACAGGTAACAAGTAAATGGAAAACAAATTTCTTAAAATACAATTTTACAAGTTTTAAAGGTACTTCCGATGTGACAAGAAACCATATTAGCATTGTGAAAAGGGTTTTTCACCAAAATGATCAAAATATACCTAATGAATTAATAAAATAGCCATTTTTTTTAAGTTTTTCATAAAATAACCACAGGATCGCCCCGGGGGCATGTTGACTATAAGGGGTGATCCAAGCTTTTTTGACCCAAAAAAAGACATAAAAAATATTTTAAATTGATTTGGAGGTTTATATATATCTGATTTGGGAGATCAAATATCTGACTTTTCTAAAATAAGGGGACCAATTATTTTTACATTCTTAATAAAATTATATTTTATAATTAATTTGGATTTTATTTTATATATTTATTCCAATTTCTATCTCTGAAAACACACCTCTTTTTATGTTTCCAAAAAAAGCTATGAAATCTTTTTGACAAGAAAATGAAATCTTTATTGGATTTAGAAGAACGAAGCTTAATCGTGTAAGTGTTTACCAAATCAGATTACCTTATCGGATAAATATGGTAAGGATCAAGAATCTTACCCGATAAGAGTGAGACATATTAAGTAAATGACAGTGTTAAATTATACCGGTACACGCTTACCGGGTAAGTGTTTGGTAAACGGCCCATAAATTATGTTTTTTTTTTGGTTTGTTTAGAAATTATGGTTTTCGTTTTTATGATTTATAATTTATTGTTTTTTCAATCCCTGTGGTTTATAAATTTTTTTACTGTTTTGTTCTTTTGTACTTTAAAGATAAAAATTAGTCCAAAGATGAAAAAAACAAATTGGGAGGAAAATATAAATTTCTAAACCACGGGAACAGAAGTTATGGGTCGTTTACCCAAATGCTTACCCGGTAAACACTTACCGATAGGAGTCAATGCTATGATTTATTTTGAAGTGTAAGATTTTAGTATATCAAAACATATTTAATGCAACAATTTACTGGGTAAAAGTCGTCATCCTCACTTATCGGCTAAAACTCTTCATCCTTCTCATCGCTCTTACCTATTAAGATTCTTAGCCCTTCCATGTTTATACGATGAGAAAATTTATCCGGTAAGCACTTACCAAGTAAACGTTTAGTAAACAACCCCTTAAAATTATTAACAAACCACGTAAACAAAAATCGTTATTTACTCTTGGTCTTAATAGGCTTAGGGACCAATTAGATCATCTTCAACGGTTATATTATTTTGAAGATTTGAAGCAATGGCAATGTAACAAAACTATATAAGACTATGTTCTCCATGTTCCACCATCTTTCTAAGATTATTTCAACTTCTCTTACATTCTTCAAAAACTTTCGTATGTATGTAGTTGGGTTTACGGAAGACCAATCTATTTTCGTGAGACCAGTGAAACCACATTTTTACACTTAACGTTGTGAAGGTAAAAAAAATTGAATTTTCACAGCAAAGACACCGTGAAAGTTACTTTCACAACGTTTTGCTATGAATTTTCAAGTGTAAAAAAATAGTCTCACGAAAACAGGTTGGTATCATGTGATCCAAAGTATGTGTGTGTGTGTGTGTGTATATATATATATATATATATATACATATACAACTTTTTTACACTTAAAACTTCACAGCAAAACGCTGCAAAGGTAACATTAACAGTGTTTTGCTGTAAAACATTTTGCTATGAAGTTTCAAGTGTAAAAAAATAATCTCTCAGGTCTCACAAAAACAGACTGGTCCCACATGAACTCAAACATGGTTCCATTGCCAGAAGATGGTGTAGGTCAACACAGGAAGAATCTTTATTCGCTAAAGAGAAGCCAAGACCGGAACCAAACGAAAAATTACAAACCGAAATTACTTTTATAACCCAAACGCTAAATACTTAGAAAAATAAAACTCATCCTTTGGCACCATCGTGCTTTCATACATGACCACGGTTTTTGTCGCATACACACAAAGACTGTTTTTCGGTTTCTAACGTTAACATAATAAATAAAGAAATCTAATTCTAGAATCTTCTAGGAGGAGTCAGAATCTATCTTGGATACTTCATTTGTCCCAAAATAAGCGTACACATTTCTGTTTGAGTTTGTGTGAAAATAAATGTCAATTTTCAAAAGTAATCCACAAAAACCCGAAGTCTCTTAACTTTACGCAGCTTTTATAAAGTAAGCCAACTCCGTATGACGCCAACACAAAAAGCAAAAGGTTGCGGATTGTTTTCTACAAGCAACGTCGGTGATCGACTTCCAGCAACCGGTTTTGCAAGAATTCGATCCTCCGTTCACTCAAACTTCGAAGCTCTCCCAAAAGATTTACGTAGCCGATCAACCATCTCCCGTGATCTTCGGTCATGTATCTTTGAAACCCGAATCTCAGATGATTCAAAACAGAAGTCAATAGACAGGAATCAGTTTGCCCGTATGTCGATCGTGCATGATTGAAATACTCCACGAAAATCCTAAAGCATTCCCCGCTGTCGATAACAGGGGCCTTATTCTTAAGCAGAATCGCATTCGGTCTCTGCAACAGGATTTGTAGAGGTTCTTGATGATTTGTATGATATGAAGTGGTTGATTTCTTGGTTGTCGATAATATGAATTTGAAAGTACAACATTTTCCTAACGGAAAGGGCTCATCGGATCTCGACCCGTCTCCCCGTTTGTTGTTGTATCCAGGATAATCTCCGAGCTTGAATTCGACACATTCTAGCAACGTCAAACAACTTTGGGAGGCGAGTTCTTCGATATTCCAACAATCGAACGGGTATTTAGTCTTGTGGGTTACGTGAACTTCGCCGTTTGGTCGCAACATCCGACTTGCATTCTTGAGGAAACTGCAAACCAGATTTCTGTGTATCCTACACGTAGCACGAAATACGTTAAAGGGTCCGTTCAGTATGCAGACAGAACTTGACGAAAAAGAAGTGGACAGGTATGTGAAAGAATTGCAAAAGATTTTAATTTGGGGGAATTGATCAAAACAATCAATCTTCCAACCCAATTCACTTTTTACCCATTTTTGGAACCAAATCCCAATTTTAGCTGGAGTTTATACATTTGCATAAAGCCTATTTCCAGATTAACAAAAAAGTGTGGATCCTTACACAATTTTACGTAACAAAGAAAATTTCTTTATAGGCTTTATACATGCATAAACTCCGGCTAATATGGGAATTTCTTAAAAAAGTGGCTAAAAAATGAAATTGGCTGGGGAGATCGGCTATTTTAGTCAATTTCCCTTTAATTTAATGTGTCTGGTTTAGTAATTTACCAATGTTACTTCATTTTATTTTGGTGTGGCAAAAAAACAAGCATTTTAGCCCATTCAAATTTTGTCTTGTACAAGTTTAATGTCGTGTCAAACATGAAACAACAGGTTTTTGCACTCTTTTTGTCTAATAACCTTACATGATGACTCCATGATCGCTTTCTTTTCCGAGAAAACCGGCATGCGGGAAATTGTATACGATGCGGTCAAACTTTCGCATATGAAGATCAACATGAAGCTTCATCGTTCTTGCATCAACTCCGTATAAAAGCTGAACTCCCAATCTAGACAAATGATCCAAGTTCCTTTTCGCTCTCTTATATTTCCTAAGCACAACATCTAGCAACACGATATTGTCGATAATCATTGATATTCTTGTGTTAAATACATAAACATCTACGAGTTATAACAGTTTCATATATTGTTTCATAGATAAAAACAATAAATGTGAAACCAAACCCATCAAAATCATACTAAAATTTTGATTTAGAGCTATCTTTTGATAAAAAAAATTATATATTTCATCCATAAATGTATTTTTGTGGTTTTCTCAAAAAAAAATTCATTATCATGTATAAAACAATTATTGTATAAATTTTATTTCCTCCACCCTGAAACAATTGTCCCCATACCTATTTATGTTTGTCACAAAATAAATGTCAAATTTCAAAAATAAATAACTAAATTCTCAAATTTATCATTTAATGCACAACTAATTAAGAATTGTAACAAAAAGAGAAATTAAATAAAAGTAAAAATGTCATCCAAGGGTGTTTGGGATTTGATTATTTGAAAAAAACTTATATTTTTCTACAAAAGTCTTTATCAAATTATTATAAGTTAGAATGATTTAACTTTTTAAAAAACTCCTTATTACCGGTTTGACACCGATATAAACTGTTTATCCAAATACTCAAAAGTGCTTATTAATGGTATCACACCAGAATAAATCAATAACTTGTTTTTATATACATGCTTACAATAAAAGCATGTATTTCAATTGTTTTGAAAGGGAGTATATGATTTGCCCTCATATTTGAAAAAAGGATCTTTATATGGAAATGTGAACATTTAAATTGGGTATAACCCAAGAGTCACCATGAATACCATAAAATTCATTACCAAATCAAGAACATTATATTTTCCAAAAACAGGAATCCTCATTTGAATTTCAAATATCAAATGTGTTCTTAACTTCAATTCAAGTTATTTCAATGGAAAAAACTAAGGATAAGATTCATATCTAACCTTTGTATCATCATAAGAACTTATTTCATGTATTTTTTTAACATCGATAATAAGTATATAGTCAATAAAATACATAAATAAGCTAAAACGAGTCACCTAACATCAAGTTCAAGATAAGAATCAAGTTTTTTTATACAAGATCTGAAAGGATGATCAGTTCTTCTAAGAAAAGCATTTTTTTGCTTACAAAAACTTTGCATTGGAAATGTTCTTCTTTATATTTCATATTTTCAGTTTCAATCATGAACTATTTTACTTAAACAATCATTCAATCTACTGTTCAATGCACCTTCGCCGGAAAAAAAAGTACGAAGTATATATGAACCTCAATCTAATTTTTATGATCTAACAGTCTCCATTGCTTTTCAATGCACCTTCGCCATGAAAGTATGCAGGAAGGAAGCAGTTATAACAACAGCAAAAATAAATCGATATTGTGTCAATCAACAAAATAACTGAATAGACCTTCGATTAAACTAGACACTATAAGTACTCAACGAACACGATCTACAAGTAGAATGTATGAAAGTACTGATTAATGAAACCCTAGCTAGCTAGGGTTTTGAAATGGAGATTTAAGCAGAATAAGGATCGATTGATTACCGTAAGAATCGATAGAAGAAGCTACGATGTTGAAACCTGATCGAAACGAGACAGCCAAACTGAGAGCAAACGAGAAATCCCCTTCTCCGACCAGCAGAATCTGATGATTCGACGAGTAATGCTTCGCCCAAATCCCTTCGTTGATTATTTGTGTGCTTCTATTCATCAAAAAATGGTGTTCATACCTTCCTGCAATTTCCTCCATTGTTTTCTCTCACTAGAAAGAGAGAGTCAGAGAGAGACGTGGGCGCTGTTAAATATGAACGTAAGGTGGAGTGGGATTACCAAATTGCCACTGTAATTTAGTAAGCAGATTGACTAAAGAAGCGTGTGGATATGAGGGTAATATAGAAAATAAAAAACAACTCATGATTTGATGTCTCCAAAGCGGGAGCCAATGGCTATAAATACACTTGGACCCCCTCAAGTTTGGGATATTTACCATTTGCATATATAACAAATAAATTTATTAACCAAAACATTCAAAAGAAGACACTGATATTGGTTTTATTTGGACCAAAACAAAATGATAAATTAAATAAAAAAGTAACGTATTTTATTTTGATTCTTATTTTGGGTAAGGTATTTTTAAATTTTTTATTTTACTATCTAAGATGTAAATTTTTATACATTTAAGTATTTAATTAACTGGTTGAAGCATTAACCAGTTACCATGTTGATGTGGTATCCGGTTAATGCTTCAACAAATAATACTGAGTTGGATACCATATCACTCGCTACATCAGCATGGTAACTGGTTAATACTTCAGTCATTTACCCGGATACTTTAAATGTTTAAACTTTACATATTAGGTACCAAAATAGAAATTTTGAAAGTATCTTATCCATAATAAAAATCAAGTTAAAAAAATACGTTATTTTTTAATGCAATTTGTCCAAACAAAAACCCTAATCTTGATATTGAAAACGGAACCTAGTTATCTATACTATATTATAAAGCATTTGGCAACAATTCTTAAAACTATTTTTTATACATTAAGTATTGTTTATTGATACATATTACTTAAAATTTAATATCACAACTTATTAAAGCTTCATTTTTAAATTCGTGTAACTAACTGCAGATAAACATAATCAAATACAGAATAAATATTCATTTTAAATATAAAAAATCTAAAATATAATTAAGATAATCATTGAGTTTTAACAAAATATTTAATTATTATCTTTAAATATATATATATATATATAGGGTATATTT